CCTTTGATAAGCTGTTTCCTTGAGCCTCATGTGCCAAGTGGATATAATGATACCTCACTCACAGAACTGTTGTGACCATGGTGTCTGGCGTATAAGCACCTGCACGACATTCCATATCCTTTTTCCTTTAAATAACACCAGGATACACACTTTGGAGATGTTGCCATCATTCTTCCTTCCTGGCATTTTCGACTTTCTACCTCGGGTTTCTAAGTCCCTCTGGGTTTTGGCTCTTTACTCCTCTTTGTTGCTCCGTCAATTGAAAGAGATCCCCAATTGAAAGAGAAATGCTGTCTGGAGATCAGTTTTGGATGAACAGGTAATCAAGGATACAACCTTTCGGAAGTAGCAAACAGGCCTGCCAAAGGCAACGTGGGGATCCAGCAGACAGAGTTGGAGTAACTGGAGTTAGGTCATGGTCCGGGAGAGGAGCGAAGCTCCGCTGTGATGCAGAGGGCAGAGGACCTGAGTCCGCGGTCTGACAGGCTCCCCAGGGAGCCAGCTGGATAAAGTTACCAAGAGAGTGAAGTGTGTGAGGTGCTTCGGAATTACTGAGGAATATAAAGAATTGTGTGGGGTGGGGAGGGTATAGCTCAAATGGTAGAGCGGATGCCCAGCATGCACAGGGTCCTGGGTTTAATCCCCAGCACCGCCTGTAAGAATAAATAAAAAAAACAAATAAGCCTAATTACCCCCCCACACACCAAAAACAACAAAACAAAACAAAACAAAAAATTGTGGTCGGAAAGAAGTTCCGAAAATGGGTAGAAATAATTATTAAATTGAATTTGAAGGTCAAACTCCGCATTTACTAGAGACTGTAGATTCATATATATTAAGCTTTGACTCGTGAATCTTTCTGAGTTGTGAAAAACACTCACTAAACGAGGAGTGTTCTGGATGGGAGTGGATTCTGAGGGCTTTATGGGGATCACGTATTTGGGGAGAGGGGATGAGAAGCAGCAGAGTCAACCAATGGTGAATGAGGACACCGCAGAGTTTCCATCAAGGTCAGTCAAAATTAAGGTTCAAATAACAATCAGTTATTCTCTGCAAGGTAACTCTCGCTCTAAAATTTCTCTAAATACAATTAAATGGCACAGTTAACACAGCCTTGGGAGAACTGTTATTCTGACCCTCATGTCCTTGCACATTTTTTTAAGCCTAGTGGGTGGGAGGCTTTTCTACTAAAAGCACTTAATTATATTGAAAAAAAGGCATGAGCTGACTGACTCCGTTTAAGCCAGGGATTCTCAGGAGTGATGACAGCTGTCACTGATTGAGGACCTACTATGTTCCATGAAGTGCATCGGACCCTTTACACACAATGGGTCACAACAACCCAAGGAGATGAGCATTATTTTTTCCCTTTTACTAGTTTGACATTATCTAAATCTAAAGTGCACAAAAAAGGATGACATGTTTTTCATGGTAGGAACAGCATGGGAAAAACGGGAACTTTCCAGGTCCTCCTGGTCATCTCTAGCAAGTAAGTGTCTATTAAATGACTGAATGATGTAATATTTGTTGACAGTTCACAGACTGTGAGGAATAAAAACATAATAGTTTATAGGGAAATGAAGACATACATGCACAAAGAAACAATCCAAGCTAAAGTAAAAAACAGAAAAACAAGACCAAAGAACCATGTCATTCATTCCATATATTTGGCTTAAAGTTCATGGTGGGAATTCCATAACTGATAAGTTACTGAATAAATGAGTGAAATTATTGAATAAATGAATTAAATCGGTCAACCCACTGACCAAATGCTAGAGCTGAGGCACTGGCTTTAGGAACTAAAACAGTCTAGAGGAGAAAAGCTCATGATGGACTTGGGCTGTAGCAGGATTTCCTGAATGAGGTGAGATCTGAACTGGGCTTGAAGAATTCGAAATACTGGATTCACAAAGAAGAACTGAAGTCATGTTGGGTAGAAGGAATATTATTAACGGGGACAGAGCCTTCTGCCAGGTCCCCCTGTGCGGCTCCAGCTCCATCCTCATCTCCCACGGCGGCTGCCTCACAGCCTTTTCCCCTGAGCTCATCTGCTCTGTTCGCATTTGCCCTGCTTTGAACGCTGTCCAGCTAGTTCTCAGAATGCCTTGAAGCTGGCACTGATTTGGCGAAGGCATCTTTGGATTAACCAGGAACGCCTCTGTCCTTTGGTAGGGAGTGGAAAAACAAACAGTGTCTGTCCTGTGGGTGATTAGAGGCTTTTGCAAGCGAAGTAATAAATTATTCGATTGCAGAAATCGTGATGAATATCTCCCACTCCCAAAGAGCTGTGAAAAGGGTTTCCCAGGGGAAAGTTGGCATTTGGCAGACCTTCTCAAGGCTTCCAGAAAGATATTCCTAGCAGGTGCTCACTACAACATTCCAGTGCCCCTTGTGCCTCTGCCCCAAAGTCAAGGCCGATGTAAGCACACCCTTCTCAGACTTCGGTGACAGGGGCTCAACACAAAATCCAAAGTTCCTCTGTACGCTGAGGTCTTGCTGCCCAGGGATCAGAGAATTATCTTCTAGCTCAGGTTTCCTGAATCATTTCTGACTTGGCTTCTGTCGGAGATTCCTGGAATTGGAGTCACTCTGAAACTTGTCTCATGATGGGTGAAGGGTTGCCCCTGATCAGAGCCATGGATCAGTTGGGTGTTTGGAAAAGCCCACACCTCCAGCTGTGGGAGAAAGGTGTTGACTGTGGTAGCCCTCATAGGACTAATCACTTTTTGATCCTGAAAAAAGCTCTGAGGACCACAGCACTGTGTTCCAGAGTCATGTCCTTTCTGATTCTGTGTCTTAGGAACAATATGAGACGCCCGAAGTTGTGCTCAGAGGCAGACCTGCTTTTCCAAAACAGAGCTCACTTTTGGAGTGGAGAGAGTGAGTTCACTTTTCTGTTACAGCTCATAAGCCAGCAGTACTGTCCTTGAGAGAAAAGACCAGCGGCCAGTATCTTAGGAAAAAGACAACTGTAAGCCGTGTCAGCAGACAGTGCCCTGTATTTCCAGGACAGAGTTCCATCCCTCCCAGGGCAGGGAAGCTCACAGAAGAGCCTGAGAAAGGGGCGAAAAGAGAAGGACAGAGCAGGAGAGTTTACCCGGTGTCAGGAGGCGTCAGGTGGAGATCCAAATCTGTGGTGGGAAATACTGTTTTGAGATGCTGGTGCCAGGCTTTAATAAAAGACTTTCTTGTGAGGGCTGAAAGTTTTTTTCCTCTGGGATTTTTAAAAAAAAAAAAAAACCTAGGTCTATAAATCCAATATTTGGATGGCAAAAATTCTTGCCTTTTTTGTTATATAATATGAAAAAAACCCCACCCCATCATAGGAACAGACCAGTAACTCAGGAAAAAGCTATACAGATCTGAAGAGATCTTTTTTGATTACCAAGATCAGAGCCTCTACTCTGGCTGATTCTATAATTCCAGCTAATTTCACTTCCTGTCTGGGACATTATTTCCTGGTAGAAGGAAGAAAAAAGTCCCAGCACTTGATGGGCCTGCTTCCTCTGAAATTAACACGAGAGCCGTCACGTGTGCCAGCCCTCCACCGAAGAAGGAGCAGGTTCGGGACCTGGCACTGTGTAGCCGAGTGGCACGGCTCCCAGAACTCTCATCCAATAAAGAGCCATTGTGGGATCTGGACCCTTCACCGTACGGGACAAATGGCTAAAATGAAAAGTACAATGAACATGAGTGGAACCAGAAACTTGAATGGAGTGGTAATCACTTCCTGAGTAGAGACCACATTATTTCTCATGCAACTTCATTCTGTAATTCAGTCCTTGCCTAGTGTAATAATACAGATTTCCATTTATCAGTGGATAAATGAGAATGATTACTAGGATAACTGTTAAGCAATATAGGTTGCTAGCATTGGTAAGCGGAGGAGAAGTGGAAAATTGTTAGGGGAGCTGGGAAGGGACTGGCTATTCATCAGGAAGAAACAGCACATCTCGAAAGACAAGAAAGTGCTGATTCTCTCCATATATGATTGACACAAACTGTAGTTCAGCTATTGGGAAATCTGGGACTGACCGTAGCTAATAGTGTCAGAAACTAAATCTAAATCAGACCTAGGGCTTCAAAACAGCTCTGATTTCTAGGTGAGAATGAGGTCTCAGGCATGAGACAGGCCTGGGGGTGGGGGGTTAAGTTCCAGGTTAAGGGGATTGACTGTGCAGGTGATACCCAGTTGCTAAGCTTCAGGTGCCACCAGACTGGAGATCTAGTGCTTAGATGCAAACACTGAGGCTGGGACGAGTCAGGTGCTAATTCAGGCTGAGCCATAGTTTCCATCTGGGTGACCTGGAGTGACTCATTATACAACAGCCAAGCTCACTAACAAAAAAAAAAAAAAGAAAGCCCAGATGCCACACTCAGCTAAGTTTTCTCAAATGAATAAATAGGAGGGAATCATTGAATTAGAAACTGTGTATCAAACAAAAACTGCTCTTTTAGCTGGACCAAAGTACTGAATTCCATGTTTCTAATTTTTAGAACTAGGTGTTTCCATCTCTGAGTCAATTATAATTTTTGGCGAATCAGTTTTGACCAGAAACACGGTCTGTCTCAAATGAGCTTCTTTCCTTATGATCTAGAGCTTGGAATTGATCACAATTTCTTAACAGGGTCACTAATCCTGCCTACTTTCTGACAAATATAACTAACAGATGTCCACATCCCTGCACCAACTTAATAAAAAAAAATCCCTAATTATCTGTGAAAGGGTGCAAATATTTCAACAAAACGCCATTTGACTCAATATTCAATTTTTGTTTTTCATTCATCATAATTGACTGGCATGGTCCCACCTCCATAAGTAATCTATGAAGATGATAGTTATTCTATTTTATTATTTTATTTTATTTTAAAGCGGTGTTAGTTGTTTTTTTCCATTTGTGATTATGCCTTTGTAGTAGGTAGCTTGTATCTGGTTCAAAACATGAATAAATATTTCTTCCAGTAACCCGGTATTAAATTTTCCCATGTTATCAACTCACCAGAATTAAGCAAAATGATGGATTTGAGGCACACAAACTCCTCTCCCTGGAGATTCATCATGCGGAACCGAGACGACGTGGCCAGCAACATGTCAAAGATCTCCACCATGCCCTCGACACATTTTCCCTGGTTCCTATGAAAATACAGGAAAAAAAGTATTAAAGAACAGAAAAGCTTCTGAACACGTGATAAGGTTCACATTCTCAAAAATCTACTGTCTCCGAATCTGCATTCCACCCCGCCCCCCAAAAAAACCAAAACCTCACAGTCATTCTCTTCAAGGATTATGAACATTCATTTGAATTCTGGAAGGTAAGATGAAAAAAAATTTTCCATCAATGAAACATTTTCAAATTCTTAGAAGAGATGTATTATACAGTCCCCAAAATCTGCCACATTAAGTATGAAGTTCATCAACCTATAAAAATGATTCAGATTCAGGTAAATAATTTTTCTAATAAATATTTATGGATCTGCTACTATATTCCAGACATTGTGGTAATGAGAATTAAAATAGGGCCTCTGTTTGCAACGTGCTCATGGTCTTGAAATAGTATAATCAGTTTTAATAGACTTTTTAATTATTTAAAGTGCTTCTGAAATACCAGAAGAAAACTATGAAAACTATGAGCTGTAGTTGTACTGGAACCATTGATGCTGCCTAGGAAGACAGGTAAAGATTCACTAAGTATGTAGGAGGCATTTGAGCTGACACTTTCAGGAAATGTAGGATTTTGCTGAGCCGAGGTTTGAAAGCATCACTGGAAGAGGTCCTCAACGTGAAACGCTGGGATAACATGGAAGTACTTGCAGCAGTGTGTTAGAGAGAGAAGGAGACAGAGTAACCTGGGGAAGAAGGAAAAGGTCAGGTAATGAAGGATGTCCTACCTCATTATAAGAAGCTTAGGCCTTTACCTTGTACAACAGAGCCTTGGCATCAAGGATTTAACATTATTAGTTGCAACAATTAAATAAGCAAACTCAAAGGCTCAACTATTTTAAATATTTTAAAAAGCAAAGTATTAGTATGTTTTCCATAGGGTTGGTGCAGAAATTAAATGCAGAGATAACATATGTGAAAGGAATTCGTTTATCTTGTTATCCATGAGCTGAATTTGGGGCATGATGGCTCTGAGGGACACAGGAAGAAGCTAAAATATTTCATGCACATGCAAGCATATACATGTGAAATATATAAAAATATAAAACATGAACACCAAACACATTGTACAGCACCCTGTTTTGTTTGGTTTTTAATTGTTGTATTTTGGAGTTCTTCATCAACTATTCTTAACGGCTGCATAGGTTTTCACTAAACACAATGCTATAATTTCTTTTTTTTAACATTTTTTATTGATTTAGAATCATTTTTACAATGTTGTGTCAAATTCCAGTGTAAAGCACAATTTTTCAGTTATACATGAACACATACATGTTCATTGTCACATTTTTTCTGTTATCTACCTTAAGATCTTATATATATTTCCCTGTGCTCTACAGTATAATCTTGTTTATCTATTCTACAATTTTTGAAATTCCATCTAT